GACTTTTTCCTTGTTGTCAATGGAATATTGTTTTTGATAAGCAATTTTGCTTTCTCTGTTCTTCTGGTAATTTTCTTTCATTTGTTCTAATATTGTGTCTTTCTTATTTTCATAACGTTCTTTTCTATACACCTTAAAATACTCTTCATTTTCTTTCATATAGTTCTTGTTCTTTTCATTCAGTCTATCTCTATTATCATCCCACCATTGTTTTGCTTCTTCATCTGTAATAAATGGCTTTCTGTTATTAAGTGTTGCTTTATGTAGTTCTATATATTCCCTCTCTTTTTTTAATGCGTCTAATCTTGTTTCACAGTTTTCTGTTGAAATTTTAACCATATTCCAATTCTCCCAGTTACCGTTATCACGGATAAACTGATAAACAGGTAGATGGTGCATTTTGTTGTTAGGGTTGGTGCAACTCGTTTTATGTCTGTATTTTCTTTTTGTAAAGTTTAATGTATGACCGATGTATATTTGATTGATACTTAAATCATTACAAACAAGTTTATAGAATATGGTATTTGAATACTCCATACAAACTTTAGGCATTGTATAAGATATTATAATACTTAATCTTTAAATCTTATTCTTCAGATACTTTTAAATAATGTGAAAAGTTTGTCATAAAGATACGGTTAGGGTCTTTTTGGAGAAGGTTAATATATAAAAAGCTATGTGGTTGTTCAGTTGCTTTTTCATATATTTTATAAATTAGTTTCTTGCTTTCATGTAAATTATCGCTTCTAACAATTGCTGATAATTCGTCTTGCAATATTTCTATCTCTTTAAAATTTCTAACTTTATAATAAAACAAATGACTTATATTTACCCTAATAATTGGTGGTACGGTTGATGATTTTTGAAGACTTACAAGTGTTGATATTCCACTATGACGACCTCTACAAAATAAAGAATTTAACAATTTGTTATTTCTTGTTATTGCTGGATTATCAGATACATCATCCAAAATTACCAAAATATTAAATAATTTCTTCGTTCCTTGTTTTTTCTGGTATTCAATTATTTTATTTTGAGTTTCTATAACTCTTTCTAAATCTTCAACATTGAACTCATCCCACCAACACGGTTCTTTATCATTATCTACTTTCAAACCTTCTTTAATGTATTTTTTAACAGGCAACCAAATACTATCCAAATTTACAGATGGAGACCAGATAAAAATTCTTTCAAATGCTCCTCTATAAATATCAAGTATCATTGATACAAGTAAAGTTGATTTTCCACTTCCAGATGGACCGACGATCATAGCTCTCATCGGCAATTTAGGTACGACCTCATGCTTACTTTGCTTAAAGTCATATTTGATTTCATCAATTGGTTTTACATCAGGCATAATAAAAATAATATTAAAGACATTTAGAAAATAATTTAATATTTATTATTTTATATGAATAGAAGTTATTCAGATTATATTGATATAATAGATGAAATAGAGAATATAGAACGGGTTGTTATAACTAATAATAGATTCAAAAAAATATGTTATTTTATTTTAGAATTAATTAAGTTTGTGATACAATATATTAAAAATATAAATATTAATATAGATGGGGAGAAAGAAAAAGAATAAGACAGAATCAGTTGTTTCTTCAACTGATGAAGAAAAAGAAGAAATTGTTAAAGAAACATCAGTTATTGAGTTTGCTTGTCCAATGTGTAAAAAAATCTTAGAAATGAAAAATGAATTAGAAATACAAAAGAAAGGAAACTGTAAATGTTCGTGTATTCCAACAAGTTTCAAAATAAGTAGACATGATAAGAAAATGAATATTGATAAAACTAAAGACGGTGATTTAAATTTAGAAACAGATGTTCATAATATTGCTATCAAATGGGGAAGGCATGCATCACCATCCGATAATGGCGATAAGGAAACTCAGGAAACTGTAAAACAAATGATGAAAAATTAGTATTTAAAGAGTAGATTTAACATAATTTAAACATTTAGTTTTAAAAGTTTAGTTTTATAATTTAGTATATATTTACATGGATGAAGGATTAGATAAGATTGTTAAAAAACTGAACAAGGTTTTAGAACAGAATAAGAATATTTTAGAAATCTTGCAAGAAATGGAAAAGAAGAAACCGTTAACAAACAGTTATAAAAGTCAGGAAGTAGATAGAACCAATGGTGAATATAAAAATAAAAGAAATATTTATTTAAACAAACTTAATAACAAAGAAATTAAAGAACCGAAGGCTTCAACTATGACATTTTATCAAATTGACTATGATGAAGATACAGGGGTTTATTCATAGATAATATTATCTAAATATCTTTAATAATGAACTTATTAGAGATGTTTAGCGGAACAGGCAGTGTTGGACTTGTTGCAAAGTCGCTCGGTTTCAATGTTATTTCATTGGATTTGAAAAATGCTGATATAAATACTGATATTTTGAAATGGGATTATAAACAATTTGATAGGAACCATTTTGATTTTATTTGGAGTAGTCCCCCATGCACTGAATACAGCATAGCAAAAACTAGGGGAATAAGAAACATTGAATATGCTAATAGTATAGTTTTAAAAACTATTGAAATTATCAAATATTTCAATCCTAAGTATTTTGTAATCGAAAATCCTCAAACTGGATTATTAAAAAATCAGGAGTTTATGGATGAGTTTGATTTTAAAGATGTTGATTATTGTAAATATGGAATGCCTTACAGAAAACGCACTAGGCTATGGAATAACATTACAACTTGGAAACCTAGAGATTTATGTAAAAAGGATTGTGGCAACATCAGGAATAATAAACATATTGAAACTGTGCAGAGACTGCCAAATGGAAACAAGGAAAATTGGGGAGACAATCCAATAATACATAAGCAGGAAGATTTATATAAACTACCTAGCGAATTAATTAGTGAAATCTTGGTGAGTTTGACGGATTAAGGATTTTGAGTTTGGGGTTGGGCTTGAAACTTGAAATTTCTAGGTTCATCCAACGACAAAACAGCATGTTTTTTTGAAATTAGGTGGGGTTCCCCCTTTTTTGGGGCGACTGTTCCCCCTTTTTTGGGGCGACTGTTCCCCCTTTTTTGGGGCGACTGTTCCCCCTTTTTTGGGGCGACTGTTCCCCCTTTTTTGGGGCGACTGCTGTTTATTTATATTATGTTATTATAATATAAATTAACATTGTAAAATCTTATATGTTATAATTATACTATACTTATGGTTTGTTTCTTATTTTTTCTTAATGCCTTAAAAATGACTTAAAGAAATAGTGCCTTAATATAATAAGAGGAAAATGAACGGTGATAAAATCAATAATTATATCAATAAAAAAATGCTATGATTGTTGTCATTTCAAAAAAGAAAATATGGAATTGTATAAATTGAACTTACCTAATGAAATATTGAATAATATTATTAATTATTCAATGGATGAAAAAGTCGAATGTGAAAATTGCCAGGAATGGAGAGATAATCAATTTTTAATCAAATGTCTGTTGAGAATAAAAGGAAGACATAATAGAAATGTAGAAGATGAGATTTTAATATTTCTAACTGTAAATAAAAATACCACCTTATGATTATGTTAAACAGTTTCTTAAAATCAGTAAGAAAAAATATGACATGATTTATGATATATTATGGATGTTGGGATATAGTCAAGAGAAAGGGGAAGATGTTAAAGAAAATATCAAATTATTTATTGAAAGTAAAAAGTTCAATATTCAAAATACATTGAGAGATATTAATATTATTTTTAAAATGATGTATGAAAGAAGAAAGATTTGTCAATTAAATTATTATCCTGTACTGAAATTGTAATCATACTATAATAATAACATGTAAAATCTTATATGTTATAATTATACTGTACTTATAGTTTGTAAAGATTGAAATATTGTTTTTTCTTAATTTGGCTGACTCTTTCAAAGTGCGTTGTTTGAACTTGGCATGCTCTTTTGATTTTTTCGTGCTTTGGCTGTTTGTATTTTATTTTGTTTGATACTCTTCTGATATTTTTTGATGGTATGTTGCTTTGTTTTTGATTTTGTGTGTTTTTGAGTTTGTGTTCTTTGATGGTTTTTATTTTTGCTGTTTTGTTGGTATGCTTGTTTGAATTATTTAATGTTTTATGCTTTGATTAAATATTTTGTTGGGGGTTGTTCTGGTTTTTGAGTTGCTTGGTGGTTCTTATCTTGTTTTCTGTGAATTTTGCTGATTTTGTTGTATGCTGTTTGATTATTTGGTTTTGATGCTACAAGTGCCATTTTATGTATTTTTCCCCCCCCCCCAAAGGCTCAGCTACGCGCCCGACGCGCACGGCTGACTGAAGCTGGGTCGTTCGGAGGGCTTCAAAAGCCCGAAGACCACTCGCTTAGCGAAGAATTGGAGACTTGGAAGTTGGGGTCTCTGCCCAAAGAAGCGGGTCTTAGATCTGAAAGGTAAAGGCTATGACATGTAGAAAGTCTGCAAATTTCGCGCTCCAGCTCCGAAGTAGAAGCGCTTGGGAAGAAATCTTGCAGACTCGGCAAGGGTCTGGGACTCGCTCGAGCAACTCTGCGCCGCACGACCAGCCCGGAGTCGAACGCAGGTCGACCGCGCGCCAAAGCTTTGAGTGTTCAAAGCTCAGCTCCCAAAGTCCGCAGTTGACAAGCTAGGCCCAGGCGCAGGGGGAAAAAATTATGAGAAGTTTGGTCCAGCGCGGCAAAAAAGGTTCGAAAGGAAGCGCTAGGTCCTCCAATAGAGAGGTTAGAATAAGGGTACCAACCTTTTTTTCCGTAGTCTATTTTAGCAGGGAGACCCCTCCCAACCAAAAAAGAAATGGTGAGAAAGGGCGCCAATCGCTGGGCGGACCTAGTAGCGCTCTAGCGCCCCGCTGTGTCGCGAAAAAAAAAAAACAAAAAGTGGCCGCGGGTCAAAAATAGGTACCTCAAATGGAACCCTGGGTGGAAACATGGGCCAAGACCTGCGGTCCGATTCCCGGTTCGATTTTGACCCACACAGATCAGACGCCGCCTCCAGCGCCCGAAGAATGGGCTGATCGCCTCGTCCACCTCTTCGGCCCTCGGAGATGGGCCCAGCGGCAGCAGGGCCCCGAGCTCGGGGATGGCTCCGGCCTTTGCAGCTCTCATCGGCCATGGCCATGGCCCGAAACCCGCGAGTTCGGGCCTGCCAGAAAAAAAGGGAAGCCCAGAACTGGGGTCATTCTGAGCGTTTCTAGGGGTTGTCAAAGTCAGAAAATGGGGCTGTTTCTTTTTAGCCCATCCCTTAGGGGGTGGCTTTGATGCTAAAATAATGAGGCCAGAAGGCGGCTGCGTTAACAGAGAAAAACAGAAAAGGGAGTTCAAGTAAGTTCAAGAGGCTCCGTTAGAGTGTCTCAAACTGGACCCCCTTTCGGTATGACATTCGTCTGATGCGCGAAGCCCAAAGCAGCTGCTGAAAACAAATGGGAGGTGCTCATGGGAAGCGCGGAAAAAGGTTAAGCCTTTGCGGCTTCCGGCTTGAGCACAAACCCTGCCGTTCACAGGTCTATTGCAAATCTCGCGGATGATCGAAAAAAATGCTTCTTCGGTCACCGGTGTTCCCTTCAAAACGCACAGGCACATTCTGTCCCAGCCCCAACTTTCCGCGCGGAGGAGAAGCAACCACCAGCACACATTGGCGACGGCCAAGAGCTTCATTCAAGCACATCCCTTGACCAAACAAGTGGACTTTCTGCGCAAACTCTTTGCTGCTTAGGGAATGTGTTTAGAAAGACCGTTCAAAAACCGGGAAGCCGGTAAACCTTCTGGCAAGGATTCCAGCCTGTATCAGCCACCAATTTGAAGATCATCTCCCGATTGGCCTGTCAAGGCCAAACGGGCCAGTGGGAGGAAAGTCTATAGGGATATGAGTGCTTTGGCCTTGCTTTGCACAATCTGTTTCTCGATATAGGAGTCAGATAAATGCTGTTAAAAGGGGGGCCGCCTAAATGGTTGGTGTGCTTTTGGCTTCCCCTGAAAAACCAAGCAAAAGGGGTCCGAAATCCAGTTTGAGAAGCCCCCACGCATGAGTCATAGTCAAACCCGTTACTACAATGGTCTGCCCGGACCCATGTAAGAAATGAAACAGGCGGGTTGTCTTTGATTGCCCCTTACCCTCCCGGTTACCTGGGTTTTGATGCTGACTCACATGGCTGTAATTCAAGAATGCCCTGGTATTCCTGAAACCAAGGACTAACGGCTGCGGTTCGATTCCTGTCCTCGGCAGCCTCCGAGTCGCCATGGAGTTGCCAGCTATGCTCGGGCACCTTAAGCAGAGACCCGGAGTTACGGCCTGGGCAAAATCCACAGACAAAGAAAAAGGGAGTTGGGAGTCTGTGTTTTTTTATCGGGGGGGAGGGGGGAACCTGACTTTTGGTCGGTTTTCTGCAAAGAAGTGAAAGGGAAATCAAGCTTGTTGCAGGCTGGCATGAGCATACCATCTCCTTGTGCAAAAATCACCCAGATCTTGACGTGGCTCAGATAAGCTTCCCTCAAAAAGAGTGGATTGGATCCAAAGCCCCGTGGTTTGGTGGTGAATTGGAGGAGTTAACCCCATTTACCGTCTACAAATCCAAAGGACCAACTAAGAATTGCTCACCTGCTCAGAAGTGTTTTGCTTTCTGAATCAGTTCCTTCGCTGAGCTTCCCGCGCACACCACATGCCAGCCCAAACGTCGCAAGAGCTGAAGCTCCGCCCGCCTCTCCTGAGGGGCGGTACCCAGAAGCAGAACCCTGTTGTCCAGCGTCTCAAGACGTCTTTCGTTTCGGGACACCGGGACCCCAAATTGTGTTTGGGTATTATTATTTGTGTGTGTGTGTGTGTTTGTTTGTTTGTTTGTTTGTTTGTTTGTTTGTTTGTTTGTTTGTTTGATTGTTTTTGTGTGTGTGTGTGTGTTTGTTTGCTGAAAGCACCCCTAAGGTTTAAACTTTCTTGACCCGAACAAAGGCCCCGAGCCCAGGCCTTCGCACGGGTGGTTGAAAGGGAAATCACCAAAAAGTCCTGCCGAGGTTTAAAAAAATAAAAAAATAAAACAACAACAACAACGGAACCACTTCAACTGACCCATTGAAGCTTGGCAGGTCCCCATTGAAACCCATGAAAGCTCGGCAGGGCAGGTCCCCATTGAACGGTTCTGCAAGCCCTCAACGCATCCCTTTCACCGGTGCATGCAAACCTGCTGCAACATGCCTTCTTTCCTGAGTCAATGAGCATCCCGGTCCACCGGAGGTGGATTTCAGCATATGACACAGCAAACCAGTTGGAAAAAACACAGCTTCTGACCAGCTGTATTTGGGCTCCCGTGCTTTCAAGACAGGCCAGAAGGAAACCAGAAGCCCCGGGGTCTCGCAGGCATGCAGAACCTGCGGAGCCTTTGGACGAACTCTCGTGTTCATGTTGATTGGAGACCCTCTGGTGGACATCACTTGTGGGCATGGTTCGGCAAAGGGAGCAAAGTCCAAGTGCTTGACCCGGACTGAAGCCCAATCGACGTCCGATTTTGTAAAAGTCCGGCTGAAGGTTACGCCAAATGGAACTCTTGAACTCTTGGGCGGGCCACTAGGGTTTGGCTCAAAGCCCGGGACCACTAAAATGAGTGGTTCCCTCGGCCTTCCTTTCATTCAAACCCTGAAAAGGGTCCCCCACGCGCCACATCCACTTCATTCAAGGCTCGGAAGAGAGCTGCCGCCCGGTTCGGCGTTCTCCCTGCCTTACCGCGTGACTTCAAGGGAGGAAACCAGCGAAACCGGATGAGAAACCAGCGAAACCGGATTGGTTCTACAAAAAGAATGGCCAAACCTCCACTCAAACCCAGGGATGTCCTGGATCTCCTATAGTCTGCTTTCGACTCTATTTGGCCGTTCAAAACTCTTATACAATCCCCCTTGCAGGCCGCCCCAACCGGTTTCCTTGAAGAGGAAACCCCACGGGAAATCACTCCACTCGTCCCAACCCAGAAAAACCACCCATGGTGAAAGCCATGGTGAAAGCCCTGCACCAACGGCAGGAGGCCCTGCTTGGAAACTGGATTCGTTCCCAAGCCTTCCCGTTGACGGAGGCTTCAGTTGCCAGAAGAACCTACAATCATCTCACGTTGAGTCTTCTAATTTCAATACATTTACAGATTCCACTGTTTGCGCTAATCGCACATGGGCTGGATACATAGCTTTAGTACGTGTAATATGGTCTACATGTCATGCAGTACCTGTACTACATGCATTACATGTATTACATGTATTACAGGCATCACAGACATTGCAGCATACTGCAGTTCAATTGCTCACATCACATATAAAATTGCATTACCTTGCATTTCATGGCAGTACAGGTCATGTCATGCCAGTACATGGCATTACACACTCACACAACATAACGAAACATGATATGATGCATGTACAATGTAAAGATTGAAGAGGGGTGGCATGCCAATCCAGGTCGTTTCGCCTTTTTGTCCCGTACCGAGGCTTCAGGGCATGCAAACCGACTGCACGGAAAAAACGCCCTGGACGCAGGAACCGGCCTCTTCCCGATAGAACCTTCAAGGGTCAAAATGGGCCGCCTCCAGCCCCTGGATGTTGAGCGTTGCCTCTTTGAAAGGCAAGCAGAGACAACCCCTGGTCAGCCAATGGCAATGTTGATCGTTGCCTATTTGAAAGGCAAGCAGAGAAAATCCTGGGATCGCAAAGTCCAAAGTTCAATGGATCAAACTGGGACCCGGCGAGGGAGAAGCGTGGTAGAAGTCGACATCCGTCAGCAGGTCAATCAGAATGTGGGTCTCAGGCCTGCCAGCGCGCTTGAGAAAGCCATCTTTGTGAAGGCGAAGTGTCGAAATCACCTCACTTACCATTCATGGGTTCGTTTGGGGGCTGGGCAAAGGGGGTTAAACAGCACAAGGCAACTAAAGGAAGCCACAGAAAGGTAAAGGTAAGCCAAAGGAAACCATGTCCTTGTCCACCAAGATCTTTTCTCGGAAATTACGGAAAAACACTTCGTTCCTTGTGCCTGGCTTCAGTCTTGAAACGCACCTCGCAGACCTAGCATGCATCTCGGGCCTTGCTTCTGAGCTCAAGCTCGCCAGCGAAATCTCGTCTTCGGCAATGAAAGTGTCCTGTTTGTCCAATTGGCACCCCGTGTTACTGATGCGGAGATGCCTCACTTCAGAGGGATCTGGAACACCTTCGCAAGGAAACAGCCGCGAGAGAAATCAAAAAAAACACATGCGCCAGCTAAAAAAAAAACAGGGGCCTACGCTGCAACTGACGCCCTCTCCTGCTTCCTGGGGGCAGCTGCCTGGCGCTTTCGACGAGCCAGCCGCCACTCAACTTGAGATCCCCGCGCCTGCCGCTTCCGACGAGCCAGCCTCTTGGCTTGCAAGGTCGACTTGGCCTCAGCCTGGTCACAGACAGACCGCGGCTCTTTTGCTGCTGCGATCGGCAGGCGATGAGAAATGGAAGGACCCCGAACAAAATCATCCCTTGCTTCCTTTAAGGGGAGCCCCAGGTTCGTTCCATTTCTCATTCCCTACTTGTCGCACCAGCAAGTTGCTTTCAGGGGTACCCTTTTTCGGGCTAATGGAAACCAACATGAGAGCTACCGCTCAGCCCAACAGGCCTCCGGAGCAGAGCCATCCTCCATGTCAGAGTCGGAATCTGCCGTCCTTTGCCGCCTGTCGGATTTTGTCGCGATCTCGGGATCGATCCGAAAAGCAGCGGCCTTACAAAGGAGGCAAGCTCCACGAGGCTCAGGGCGAAAGGCACCGTCATTGGCCCCACCTTCAGCAAACCGCAAAAACCGCCGCACCGCGCAAGGCAGACAGTCAAAGCAGTCTGGTCTGGTCTGGCGAGCTCTGAGGGCCTTGCAACAACATCAGTCTCCAATCCCACCTCCCAAGTCGACAGCTCCTGACGGACATGTCCCAAAAAAGAAGCGAGGCTCCTGACAAAAACAAAAAAACACAGCTACGTCCCACATGTTCGGACCAGCAGGAAAAAAAAGCAAAGAGGCTGTGAAGAAGAGATTCAGCTTGCCTGGCACCACGTCCCACATGCTCGGCCCAGCAGGGGAAAAATAAAGGAAAGAGGCCGTGAAGAAGATCAAAAAACGAGGCGGAAGTAAAGAATGCTCAGCTTGCCTTGGCAGGTCTCCACGTTTCGGGCCACGCCCCACTTTTGCACCCGTCCTGAAGCACCAAGTCCTGGAAATGCGGCGAAGCCCCGCGGGAGGCTGCAGCCATGGCTGTGGCCGTGGATACCGCGGATCGCCAGCGGGCGAGGACCTGCGCTCTGCGTCATCTGGTTGCGAGAGGGGAAGCAGCCGCTTCCGGGTGGTGGATTTCAATGAACCGGTTGCAGGGGGATACCCCTTTCAGGGAAACCATAGGTGATGGGTTTTAGGGTTCATTGCAACTGGTTCCATGCTGAGAACCCCAGTTTTGGGGAGTCCCCTTTCACGGAAACCACAGGCGATGGGTCATTGCAACTGATTCGCTGCCTATCTTATGGAGTTCTTAAGGGGGGGGGGGTGTAAGGGGGGGGGGGGGGGTGTAAATGGGGGGTGTTAAATTTGAGTAAATGGCGTGGACTAGGGAGCGGGAGGCCTAGGGTTCAAATACTGAATCCGGCTCAGCCCTCATCCGGCTTAACCGCTTGCCCGCCCAAAGCTCTTCGCCAAACACTCAAACGCACACACAAACACAAACACACACAGAGTCACACACACACACACTAACACGAACGCGCACGCAAACGAGGGAGCCCTAGGGAGCCCTAGGGAGCCTTAGGGAAGCTTAGGGAAGCTTAGGGAAGCTTAGGGAAGCTTAGGGAAGCTTAGGGAAGCTAGGGGGAAGGGGGAGCCTTAGGGAAGCTTAGGGAATAGGGTTTTGAGGGGTTCCGAAAAACTTCGGTAAACCCTGTACTTGGGGCTCACTTTGGGGAACTCACTTTGAGGGGTTCCGAAAAGCCCTGGGGCCAACGACCTTAAATCTTGGAAGGCTGGGGAGCTTAAGGGAGGCTAAGAATCTTTTAGGGGCCTTTAGGGGTCCTTGGGGAGGGAGCGCTAGGGTTTGCTAAGGAGCTCCAGGAAGTGCTAGGGAGCCTTGGGGCTTTCAAATTACCCCCCCCCCTTACACCCCCCCCCCTTAAGAACTCCATAACTATCGAACCATCAAGTCATTCGTAGCTCAAAGTGTGGTCAACGGCTTCACTGCTTTGAAGTTGCCGCTCGAACACCGACAACAACCTAGCAGCAGTTGGAGGCAGCCTCGGGCGGCCAAGTCTTTATTTGCTTGTCTCTACCTGTACTACATGTGGGGTTGTGTGCAAGTAGGGGGACCTCCTTCAAAACCAACATGAGAAGGGAACCCTATGAAACACACACACACAGAGACAGACACAAGCACACACACAAACACACACACACACACACACACACACACACACACACACACACACACAGTGTAGCATTACTCTTAAAAGGATCTGTGTGTCATGACCCGGAACATATGAAGGGCAAGCCCAGCGACCATGCAAGCTAGCACATTTGTTTCCGGAATCGACCATGTGTTTCTCCAATGTCGCATCAGTGTTGCACTTGCGATTGCCAATCGGATCCATTCTCACAAACAACACATACACGCCTCACAAGACGAGCCAGAAACAAACGACTATGGTCACCCTTTCCCAGGTGTGTATGCATACTAATCAGGGGCGTTTTGGTGGACCTAAAGGGATTCTTGTCCACCAACCACTTTTGAAGTGGTTCCCTATCAAAAACTCATAGCCACCTAGGAAAACCCACACATGGTTTTCAAACCCGGCGGAGCTCGCTCAAAAAAAAAAATGCTCCCGGCGAGCCTCCGGGTCGGCCGCCTGACGCTTGGTAGGGTTGTAAGGGTACAGGTGACTACAATCTCCACTAAGGTTCCCCCTGAACCCCTTACTAAACGGCCATTGGAACTAGAACGGCCATTGGAACAACAACCCCTGAACCCCTTGGAAGCGTTGGGCGAGAACGGCGTCGCGGCACCGTGAGGCTCTGTTTTTTACCGAAAAGAAGATGAGTCCGCAATTGAAAGAAGATTCAGACAAACACGCCTGCAACAAACGTACTTAGCTCTCATGCATGGATGACAGGCCCCCCTTCTGGTGCACAGAAGTGCATCAATGTGCAATACTTGTTCTTCTGCGAGTCTTCACCAGCAGGCGCATGGTAGTGAAAAGCATCTTCCGCAAGCCATCGATGCGAGTTGAACAGCTCACCTCTCGTGTTAGCTGAACCGCTCACTTCTCGTGTTCCGCAAATAAGCCGGCTCTTGACGCAAAGGCAGCCCCCCCCCCGGAGCGTTTTGAAGTATTCAAGCCCAAGCACCGACGGATGCCGCAAAGAAGGAGTGTCCACCTGGTTTGAGCCCCGCAAAAAGTGGCACAGGGGCTGACGCCTTGTTCTGACTCTGCCCTTTTGAGATCGGGTGCATTCCGGTGGCCTGGGCTGCCAGGATCCCAGAGAAGGGAAAGAGGCGCGGCAGGGTCTCCGCCTTAAGGGTCAAAGGCAGATCGGCCCAGGCAGTGTGAAGATCCATGTGGGTGTTCCCCGGTTTATTTCGCCGTGCCCCGATAGCTCCAATCGACGATATTGCCAGAGCTTGGTTGGGTGAGGCTGATCAACTCTTGACGGCTCCCTGGGACTGGAACAAATCTCCTTGAAGTTTCAAAGCATGCCATGCTGGTGAGTGACCCGAGTGATGCCATGGTTTCGACTGGTACAGGCCTTGGGCGCTAAAAATGTCAGCAAGTCTTGTTGGAAGAAAGTCGCAATGTTTGTGAAAAGATAAGGACATTAACTCTTGCCCTTCCCTTTGCACTGATCAAACTCCCGATGGGAAGGGTCCTCCCTTGTTCCATTGCGGACATTCACCAGAACATAAAACAAGCGCATCTCGGCCAGCAATGTGATCTTTCTAAGCTTTTTTCAACAGGCCTTGTGAGCATACTCCAACCCAAGACCGTTCCTGTTTGTGTTCTTTTTTGCATTTCTCAAACTGGCTATTTGGGTTTTGGGGTATATATGTCATAGCAGGGGCTTTAGGATTTAAGGGTAGTTGGCACACTCACAAGGCCACCATGAGAAAGTCGCTCGTGCTGTTTGGGCACAACATGTTGTGCTTCCCTGACAAAGATTTGCGGTATACTCAGTTTTACTTACCTCCAGTTTTCAAGGCAAATCTAACATATCCCAATATTTTACACCCGGGAGCCGAAATCCCAGATTTTGGGGTATGTTGAACTTGCCTTAAACACTTAAAATGTTTCAGGAAAACTGAACATGCCCCAAAACAACGGTCAAATGCTTGGAAATGGAGGCTACCCAAACTCCGGCTCTCCTGCCCCTTGAAGTGGTCACTACGCAGGGTGACCGTTTTGCACACCATTCCACAAAAGCTCCACTCCCAGGCTCTCCGGTGTTGGGTCCGTTTCCCCGTTCATGGCAGCTCATAGCTCTTGAGTGAAACCCAGCCCCCTCCTTGGGGGAGCATGCAAAAAAACTGTCGCCATTCTTCGAGCCCGATGGGAGCGTGGCAGAAGAGCAATGCTACAGAACTCTCGGCTAATCCCTCAAAAACCCTGAAAAACACAAAAGAAGGGTATGCTGAGAAGGCTGTTTCAAGATAATAGATACTGGCTTGGTGGCAGTTTCCATAGGTGCAATATCTTGGATGAAACCAAGGGCTAATAACATGATCTTCGACAAGCGTAAAGTTTGAGTGTCATCTTCCAACCTTGTCTCGCTCTGCAATCTTCCCATCCATCAGAGGTCCTACTCTAGATGTCCCTTTTTCCAGGTTTCAAACATGACTTTTCTGGGTCGTTCTTCCCCCCTCAGCTACATGTCTAACCTTTTGTAGGTGTAATGGAAAACAGCCATGTTTTGGCCCATGTGTTGGGCGAGTTTCCCTTGGCATGATGTGTTCTAGCTTAGAAAAAAAGTTGTGTCCTTGACCCATGTTTGGGTTGACACCCCGCTTGAGTGATGTGTCTGACGAGCTGCTCGAGTGATGCTTTTGGGTAGGAATGTCCATTCACATCCCCAGGCCTCTTTCTCATCCTGGCTCCTGTCGCATCAGTGGCTGCAGAGTCTCTCTCAGCTGGGCCGCACACACACACACAGAGAACCCCAAAAGGAAACCAGGCGCATTTGGGGGTCCCCTCTAGTATTGCGCCTACATGGAAACCAAAGGCTCAGGCTGGAAGGATTCTCCAAATAGCTTGCCCTCAAGTTCTGACAAGAGCATCAGCTGCAGCAACTGCGAAAGGGCCAAGGGTCGGCAAGTCATCTGGCCAGTGTCATCCAATTCACAAGATCTCGCTCATGTCAACAAGGAGTGTAGCAATGGCTACGATTTGCAAAGAACAAGGGATATGACACCTGTGCTGAGAAGGGAAGGTGCTTTGACATAGTGCACCCAAGCGATTTGAAAATCTGCAGCGAGACCAAATGCAAATTATCGCACAATGCAACATGATAGCTATGGGTGGACACCCTTGAGGCATCGCACTCCCTGTCGGAAACGCGCATCAGCCCTCTTCGTTATACTTGCATTGCCCAGTGTCGGGCTACAGCAGAACACGCGCTTATCTTCTTGGAGCTCTTGAGGAAAAAACATGGCATGTATAATGGATCATACTTCTGACGTGGGTCTTGTCGTTGCGCTGGGGTCGGCTGCGAGTTGCCAACGTCCAAACTCCCTTCACTCTGGCATGGCTTTTTTGAGGGAATTCGTTTTGGGGTTGGGTTGAAGTAAAAAATATTGAATGGAGAAACGGAAACACACCTTTTTAGGGGTTCCCTATCTTGAGACACCTACTGAAAACCTGCGTTCTGGCTGGGTCCTTTGCTCGAGTAACCTGCCAACCGCGATTTGAAGGGCGTCCTCAAACCGCCGTCCACTGCCAGCACCAAGGGGGACAGCTTCGCCGCCGAGAGGTCCTCGCGACCGTCGGATCTGACCCAACCGACCAGAGCTCTATGATACGGTTCGGATGCGGCACATCTGTGGACCCACCCCGGTAGAATATGAAAAGAGTACTAAAAGAGTACTAAAAAAGGGCCAAGGGGAAGAACCGGTGAAATCCACAAAAAGCGCATCCAAACCGTTTTCTAGACGAGCAAGCCAATAAGCGACCAAGCAACTGACCAAGCAATCCGCCCGGCCAACAAACTCGATCAATCAACGTTGACCTGTTCCATTTGCTCGCAAAAAAACAAATCCACGCCATGTCTGGGCTGCGCTCAGATCCCCTGCCAAAAGTTGATAACTTTTCGTGGGTTAAATGGAATCCCCACTAAACCCGATCTAAAAAGCTAAGGAACCGGATGGGGGTTAAATGGAAGTCCCCGCTGAACCCTAACAGCTGAAATGCCAAGGAACCGGATGGCTGGGAGCCTCCAAGATGTCTATGCCCTCTCCTGCGGCTTGCGCTCCGTCAACGCGAAGATCGCTGCTGCCTGAGCCCAAAGATCGCTGGTGCGATGGGTAGGGAACCCACGCGTTTGGGAACAAACCTACAAATTCCCTTGAAGGAAACCCACATACAGGGCGTGGGCTATCACGGGCTCATTCCCATAGGTGTCTTTTTGGTTGAAAATAGATGGGTCTCCCTGGTCAATGGAATAAAACCACCATAAGCCATAAACCAATGGAGCCCAGCGATTTCCCCAGCCAAAATCAGCTACGTACAAAGAACGTCTATGATCGCTCCGCGATCCGCGCCTCCAGAACTGCGGAGGCCGCCTGCGGCGATCTCACCGCGGCCGCCCTGGCGTTCCAATCGCTCACGGCGCTCCATGGGATCGGTGGGGGTGTGTGGCCCGTGGGGGGCAATCAACCTGGAAGAAAAATGGGGGAGATGGCGGAAAAATGGAGGAAGATGGAGGAAAAATGAAGGAGGAACATGGAGCCAGGGGTTTGTCTGTCAACCTTCAACCTTAAGTCATAAAAGGCTGGAACCCTAGGCTCAATAAGGTCATCACGAGAGAACATGGACAAATTGGGGGCGTGTCCCCTGAATTTGTGGAGACTTGTGACTTCTTCCATATGCCTCCCGAATGGACGATAGACTAATGAACATGTTGACCAAGCCTGAGTTTCTCAGCCTAAATACGGTGTCCTTTCAGCTTCCCCCTAGCCACCCCCAAAAATCAGCTTCCGCTAATTGGCAGTTTGGATTGGTGGTGTTGCGGGTTGGTGTCCTATTTACCCGCTACAAGAACCAGGAAGTCCACCAATCCAAACCACCAATCCAACCAATTGAGGACAACCTGAAGAACAGGCAGCCTCCAGCCACAACCACGCACATGCGCGGATCGCGCCATCGCGCCTGGAGAACATCGAGCCAGCGTCGATGAGCTGCGGGAAGGACAGGCGCGCAAGCGCGAGCGTGGCTTTGGCAAGGTCTGCCTGAACCAAAAGTGGGCGACGCAGCTCTTGGGGTCCAATCTAAATTGGGGACCATGCGGCTGGATATCAAAAATTGAGGAGGGGGGGAGGAGGGAGGGGGGGAGTTATAACAACCACCATGTCTGAGGGTGTTCATGACTGAATGTCATAGCCATCTGGCAACGTGCTAACCTGACCAAGCACATGAGCCCTGGACAGAACTACGACGGTTTCTTCAAGAGAACACGCCTCTGGTTTTCGCGGATGAAATCTGGGTAGCTCCCTATCTCCCCAGACAAATCATCGAGTCACGGATTTGTCCGTTCACATGATATCTGATGGTAGCAGGCCTTGTTTCGGGCCAGAAGCGAAGGGTGAATCGCTCGCCTCATCGAAGGATTCCCCAAGGCTCTCTGGGGAGCCTAGAGACCGCTTTGCCAGAATTGGTTGGTGAGCCTCGGATCACGGGCGGGTGTTCGGCATTGAGTTTGAGAACTCACCCTTTGAACTCCCTAGCTCCAAGAAACCAGCTGGACATTTTACCGGAGGCAAGCTTCTTGGGTATTGCGGTCTTCGTGCGGAATTGCCTGTACTGTGGCTGGCTTCGTAGAATGGGAATTGATGAACATCCGTGTTGTTATACAAGGGATTCCTATCAAGATCACAGCAATTTGGCTTCACAGCCTTGGGCCCCGAGCCAAAAGCTTCTGGCACAGGTAGAACCATTGCCTGAAGTCGACAGTCAAAGCCCATTTCAGCCTGACGCCTGTTGTGGGTGGAATTCACCAACTCCCGTGCGACTGCCTGAAACAGCTCCTGCTTCACTCTGAAGCGAGTCTTTGCTTCATGGCCACATGCCCCAAGTTTCCCCAAACCGACAGCTCTCAACCCGACCCCAACCCCATCAAGCAATCGCATGGAGCACGGAACCAAAAGGAATGCCGGCGAACTTGCCCCGTTCGCTCGGTTGGGGGGGGGGTTCTGCCAAAGTGAACCGAATCAGAATCAAATGTGGACCCCCGAAACTTCTTTTGGTTTCAACCTTTAAACCCACCCAACGGGTTCCCTCAAAAGCCCCATGGCAGGAAGAAAAACACCTGAGCCGCCTCGGACGTCTGTCCCGCTCTTCCGATCCGAGCGGCGTGTCCCTCACCGACAGCAGGGCCGCGGAGTCCAGCAGGCTGCAGAGCGCCGAAGGCTTGGGCTCCTCGTCTTTCGTGCGCGGCTGCGCGGCGGGGGGGAAGGGGGGGGGGTGGAGGGGTGGGGAGGGGTGGGGAGGGGTGGGGAGGGTTCAGAGGTGTCTCTTTTGGTGGCGTCCCTTTGAAACAAGCCCCGAAAAAATGAAGAGGAGGAAGAAGAAAAAGAAGTGGGCAAAGAAAGACACATGCCGGTGTGTGTTTTGATGGTTTCGACCCTTTGAACATCTAGGGGACTATGTCCAGCCATTGCTCTAAAAAATCCCGGTGAGAAGCTCCGCCGTTGTGAGTCCAAGCAACACCACCTTCAGCCGCAACAAGTCGTGCCAGTTAGAAATGGGCTCGCCTTTGGCTTAAGGGTTCCCCTGCTTGGGGGTTATGTTATGGCCATGGGTTAAAATCCCGTACCCCCCCCCCATCCCAATCCCCTCTATAATAGGTTCTAAAATGGGTGGTGCACCTATATACCCCAAGATGGGATCCCATTAGTTTTGACCCGCAGCTTTATAGGAAACCCTAAGGGAGACCAGCCATTCGGGGTCGCTGCGAAACTCCCTTCTTGCAACATAACCTCAATAACAAATGACAGTGGTCCTTCTTTCGGCTGCCAAGGCAGACACCAGCCGTGAGAAGTTCAAGTGACGCACTCGTACAGGAGTCAAAAAACAATTCGACTCCAACCGCGGGGCATGTCAAACCGCGTGTCCTTTCGATTTCCTTCAAGTCCACTTTCCATGAGTCATCCAATCTTGTGAAGTCACAAACTGGAAGGCAGAAGATCCCCTACAAACCCGTTGCTGCAAGAGGGGTCCCTTGGGCAACTTCTTCTCTTCCACGAAGACAGCGACAGGGAGGCAGGGAAATTTGGCAAGGCAAACATTGGGAAGGCTACAATTTGAATTGTCCTCAAACTAGGGTTCTAGCCACCACTGGGTCTAGCCAGTATGAACCTCATTTCGTACCTGTGAACATGTGTTAAGGACTGGCTTTTCCGAGGCGTTGTCTGCTTTGAGTTCCCCTTTCTGCAATGCTCGTGCTTCCAAAAAGAAAGAGAAACCGCCCACAAGACTAAACTGCCGGGGTCGAAAGGTCTCGGATCTCCGATCTCGACACGGCACGAGCCCGCTCCACGTTCCGCTGCTTCAGGCCCTGGAGCATGATCAACAGAGCCTCCCGGGCCTGCACAGATCTGAATAAGGACCCGCGCGAGAAAGGAAAAAACACGTGGAAGACGAAGAGGTTGGTTGGGGAAGAAAAAAACGTGAACCACACAAAATCTAAGGAAACTAGTACCAAAAAAAATGGTCCTGGAAGAGAAAGCATGGTATGTTCAAAACTTGATGCATGTTGGCAAAGAATTGCCACGGCCGCAGGTGCTCGTGGTTGGGATTGTCTCCTCACCTTCACGTACCATTTTGATTGAGGCTCGCGTTGTGTCGGTATTTTTTGTTTGGTGACCCATCTGGCTCTTGTTGGGCATGTCCGTCTGTGTTTCTATTTGGTTGTGGGTCAAAATGAAACCACCAGGGGACCGCCGGTTTTAGTCCATGTTTCCATTTACCAGGGTTCCATTTTGGGTACCTATTTTTGACCCACAGCCATTCTCGTTTCCTGCAATGACTCCGAAAACCCTGGAGGACCGCTCTAGCCTTCCACGTCCAAGTCGGATTTGAGTTCTTCAGCACTGTCCCGGTGCTGATGAGCTACTCAATGCTGTTCAATGGGTGCCTGAAAAGGCACAAAATACGATGGTTTGGCGTGAACTCGTGCGAGAGTCCCGGCAATTTCGAAAACGATACAAGGGGCTTAGTATATCCAAGCACATGATCTCCCATGCTCTGAAAGAAAATTGGCTCAGTTTAGTAAGAACCTTCACGACCCCATTCCATTTTTTTCAGACCCTGTTCGAAGTTCAGGGTCACATCTCAAATAGCGTGTCCGCGCTTCTTGCCTCCCACAGCAGGTTCTGCGGCGCTTCGCCTGAACGCTTTTTCAAAAGTTGACTGCTCGAGTGGGATCCGACCATTTGACGTCCGTGGTGCATGTCATCTCCCCGCTCTCATTGCCCGCTTCTGACGTTCCTAACTCCCAACTCTGCCATCGCCTGTGTCAGCATGTACAGCAGGCAGCCTCCCATGTTGCCACTTCAAATGGATTGACGGGGATCCGACCTAGTCTGGGTTGTCCTCAGATCCCCGAGTGGGTTCAATGGAAACGATGGACATGCCTGGGAACCAAGCAGTGCACGAGTTTGAAAGACATCCACTCCCAACGTTGGCGGCATG